CGCGATCCACTGTCCAAAGCTATCATGAAGGGCCCTATTCCCAAAAGGATGGAGAAGCCTCCCCATCTGAAGGAGTACAACGACATTGCTGACCCCGTCGACAACTTAGAGCCGATGCTCCACTATCACAATGTCGGAGGACCCATCAAATGCAGGATATTCTCCACGATGCTGAGGAAAAAGGCCATGGACTAGTATAAGAACCTCCCCCTGGATCGATCACCTCTTGGAGGAGTCTGAAGAACCTATTTATCAGCAGCTTCATAGCATCTTACCGGCACCCGAAGACTGAGTCTTCCCTCGAGGCAATCATCCAGAAGAGAAATGAGACCCTCAGAGAGTACATCAATCGGTTCAACCGCGAGGCCATTCAGGTCCTCTATTCCGATCACATGAATAGACACTTGCTCGAGAGGGGGATCCTTCTGGGCACTGAGTTTAGACAGGCAGACGACATCGAGCCTCCCAGGTCTTTTGACGCACTCCTCGAAAAAGTTTGGGCCTACATGGACTACAAGGAAAAAGAGGCCGCCAACAACGCTCACAATTCGAGGAACCACAGACTAACTAACATCCAGCGGTACAATGACACGGGCTCTTCTCGATGAATAAGGTATAAGAGAAGGAAGGAGAAGCCTCGTGACTCCCGCGAGCACAGAGGACCAGTCTGGTGATTCACTGAATACACCTCGTTGACCACTTCGTGTGAGTGTATCCTTACGGAGTGCTCTAATGCTGAGTTCAAGCACGGTGGGGTTAGGTTCCCTCGACAAACCCCTTCCAAGCCCAGGGCCGACAGGACGAAATACTATCAATATCACCGAAGCCATGATCACTTGACCGAAGACTGCATCCACCTGAAGGACGCGATTGAGACTCTCATCAAAGCGGGGAGGCTCGAGCAGTACAAGAGAAACGACACCCCTTTCCAGGATATCCGCGAGGTTAAAGAAATTTAAGAGGATGCCCGACCAACCAATGAATATGGCCCTCTTCAGGTGGCCTTCTGCATCTCCATACCCAAGGACATCCACATCCCCGATGGTCTTAAGGACGAGAAGTTTTTGTTCACACACAACATATGGGAGAAGTTCCCCTCCGTTGTGGTCATATTTGGCAGGGGATTTAGTGACATCTCGGTGAATTTGGCAAAGAGGAAATTCTGCGAGCTGATATATGCAGCCCCATTCCATGTTGTAACCCTTGAAAGATTCAAGGGGAAATCTGAGCCAATCACCTTTTATCTCGAGGAGCTTCCCGATGGAGCTGTTAACTTCAGCATCCCTCTGCTGGTGAAGGAAAAGATGCCTAACTTTGATGTGCATAGGTTCCTAGTCGACGAAGGGGTTTTCGTCGATGTCCTGTACACCCACCTGTTTCTCACCCTACAGCTCGACGATGCCCGCCTGTCGCCATATGTGGGATCTAATCTGCAAGGATTCAACTATTCGACCTCCAAGCCATGGGGTTATGTCGAGTTGTTTGTCATGTTCGGGGAAAAAACCGCATCCTGACAGGTCAAAGTGTGTTTTCTGGTGATTGACTGCCCGTCTCTTTACATCTGCATCCTGGGGAGACAAACTCTGGCCGAGCTGACGCCATACCATCCATGATACATTTAAAGATGAAGTTCTACACCAAGAGGGACCGCGTTGCCACCATCCATGGAGACATCGCACCTACCCGAAGATGTTTCAATGAGGCATCTAAAGGAAAGAACATGGTCGACACAGGGGTACAACCTACCAAAAGAACAACCTCCTCAACAACAATGGCTATCTTGACTGACAAACCTGCTCCAGTCGAAGAACAACAAGCTCTACCAAAGGTCAACTCCATCGACCTCGACACCCACTTCGCCAAAGATGAGGTCGAGGCCCCCAATGGCGAACAGGATCCTCTCCAACCTATCTCAGACAGAGACTTCAAGTTCATCCCCCTCGATGAAGATCCAAGTAAAGGAATGAAGATTGGCGCTGGACTCCCCGACATGGCAAGGAAGCAGCTCAAAGCCTGTTACAGAGATGCCCGGACTCGACCCTGAGGTCTGTTTACCGTGGGAATTGGTAAACAACCGCTGATCTTCCAAATGGTTACTTATTTGGTGACTCGCAGGATCGATCAGATTGATCCTAAGACATGGTTGATTTTGGGGTTTTGATTAGGTTTGATAATGGTTAAATGACAAGGAAATAAAGAAGCTTTATGTAAATTGCATGAAGAAGAGAACTTGATAAAATAAAGGAAGGCTTGAAATAAAGGGCTTCGACTGGAAAAGTAAAGGAGAAAGCAAGTAAAGTTTCTGGAAAATAAATGACTTTGATTAATAAAAGTGGTGTTTCACACATACATTCTCAACAATTCTTTCTCACACGTTGGGTACTCGAATCTATATGAGTGACTTGTATATAATTGTGAACACACGCGAAAAACTGCGTGAACTACTAATATTTATACTAAACACATCCCAAGTAACCGTCGG